CCATTCAAAAGTTTAAACCAACTTCTGAGATGCTATTAAATGACGTGGCTTCAATGTCTAATTGGTTAGACAGTAAAAAGAATGAGGATTCCCGATGGATTATTGTAAAGGGATGGGAGATGATAATTCTCTTACAAAGTTATTATGGATGACACCTGAACAAGTTGAAAACTGGATCTGATTTCTGATTGTGTTTTAAATGATATAACATATAAAACCAACCATTATAGTATGGTGTTGTTATTGTTTGTAGGATTTAGTAATTATTGGCATAATATTGTTCTTGCGTATGCACTGCTTCCCGATGAGAGTTTAGAGTCACACATTTGGGTGTTTAATGAAATACTAAAAGCAACTAACAGACAACCTGCAGTAATGATGACCGATGCTGACCCTGCAGTTGATTCTACAATTCATTGGGTTTTTCTTTAAGCATATCCAGTTCATTGTGCTTTTCATATAACGCAAAATATCAATAAGCATCTAAGAAAGATTCTGGGTGATAATTTTTATAAGTTTCTTGAGGTATTTTATATATGCCGAAATAGCCTTATGATTGAAGTTTTTGAAAAATGGTTTAAAAATCTTCGTCAAGATTTTTCCACTGCTAGTTCTTACCTGGATATGCTTTATCGAACCAAAACTTATTGGGCGCATAGCTTTATAAGCTTCAAGTTTACTGGAGGAATGATCATGACTTCACGAGTAGAATCAGTCAATGCAAGTTTAAAATATCTCTTACATAATTCAAATGTCTCCTTATGTGAATTAATAAATGAAATTCATCAACTTCTGGATATGCAAGATAAAAAGGATGAATACAATTTCTGGAAGGTTTCAATTCCTTCTATTAAAAATAAAGACAAGACGAACTTCTTATTTAAAACAATAGATGGATGTTTAGAAAAATTTCTCACACCTATAATGCTTGAAAAACAAAGAGACGAAATAAGCCAATCGGTTTATTACGATACATCTATACTTCAAGATAAAGATTTAGAAGTATCTATTTAATTGTAATTGTATATGTTCTATTATAATACAGTATGTATTAACATATTTGAATTTTAAATTAGAAATGTTATATTGACGATCATGAAGCTAAAATTCGTGACATGACAAATGTAGAAATACAACAAATTATACTAAAACAGATTATTGATTTTGTTGGAGGGTTAACCAATATTACTGAAATATGGTCTGTTGCAGTTGGCGATGCAATGGCTGTGAAGCATTACATAGTTTTATTAAAGAATTATTCACATGTTTGTACATGTCTATCTATTATTCAACAAGGCATAATTTGTAGGCATTATTTTCGAATTATGCTTGCGACCAGTGCTGCAAAATTTCATATCCGTTTGATTCCTTCCAGATAGTATTATAAAGATCTCGATGGCTCCAATGAACCTTTTTTTACTGCAGAAAAGTTTATCAAAGAAAATAGTACAACATTCCAATGCGAATCACTTATGTCTATTAATTATCTATGTGCATTTCAACAAGCCAACCGAGACTTTCTTGAAGAAAGCCTTAATTTGTCTCAGCAAAAAATGCTTTATGGAAAGTTACATGGAATGTATAAAAAAGCTATTCAAAAGGCATTACAAAGTAAAGTCAAGTCATAGCAGCTTATTGAACTCTTGCAAGATTATACAAAAAGAAGCAATAAAGAGTCTAAAGAAGAAACAAAAGAGGCCGAAGAAGAAAGTAATAATGGGTAGTCAAAAACTTAATATCTTCAATCATCTTAGGTGAGAATCTTTTTTTTTCTTCAAAAGTGATCATTTCAATATTTAAAAGATGATTATGCTTATTAATAACTTTATTGATTTGAACATTAGAATTCAGATTATTAAGTTTAGGGCATGAAACATTAATGAGAAATTGACATTGTATTTTTTTCGTAACTGTATCCTTTTTTGATTTTGAATTATAGGAGCCACTATGATCACACAAATATGTACGTCATAAAATAATCTCCCCATCATATTGCACACGATCCTTCTTTATATGAAAGCCATTTTTTTTTGACCATTCATTTAGAAATAGATCACATTTTTCCCATGTTGGAAAAATTTTTTCCACTAAACAAGTCAGAATTTGCAGCCTTATTGGAAAAAAATTTAGGTTCTTCAGATCCACCTCTTGAGTTATACCATCATCGCCATCTTGAAGAAGTTCCTCTTCAGCCTCAATCTCTTTGGTCACATTATAATTTCCAGATAGCACATCGTCTCTAGAAAACATTTCTTCAAGCTCAACTTGTTTGTTTGTGTTAATATCTTCTTCTTCAGGCATATTGCTGTGACAAAGAAAATAAAGCGAAGTGAAAAAAATTAATTGCTATATAGCAAACAAGCAAACAATGCAAAGTGATCAATGAAAAAAATAATACCTGACTGCTACTACTAGTAACAAGAAACAACAAAAAAAAAACACGAACATGAGCATTAGATATTCACTGAAAGGTATGTATTTTGTATTTGCTTTTCCTTCTATTGTTACTTTTCTAACCACTTTTTTTATTCTCACCTATACTTTTTCTCATATTTCACAAGACAAGTGCAAGTGACCAAAGAAAAAATATACAGCTAATTACAAGGCAACTTGATATGATAAAAAAAAATGTGAGTTTATTAAATAATGCAGTGTGTTAGACATTCACTTAAAGGTATATATTTGTATTCGTTTTTCCTTCCGTTGTTACTTTTCTAACCGCTTTTTGTTATTTCTATATTCATTACATTTCACGAGAAAAATAGTCAAACAAAAAACAAACAAAAGAAGTTCGATCATATTTGATCGAACCCCTATTTATATACTCTTTTACGCGTAAAACGTCATCGATTACTCCCAGTATCAATCACAAACTCTAACAAACCCAATCTTACTTACTATTGTATGATCGATATTCTATATATATATTATATACAGTGTAATGATGCGTTACTGCGCATATATGCAAAATGATATAATTCTAATAAAAATATATAATAGATACAAAATACGATAGATATATTTTATAATAATTAAAAATTTAGAGAATATTATTATAGTACTATAGTGCCATAGTGCTACCCTATATATAAATACAAAATTGGTGTAACATATAAATCAAAACAATCTAATCTTTACAAAAAATAAAAATTTTAATTAGATTTAGATTAAAGCTAAGGTTAAAATTAGAAAAGGCATAAATT